TTTTATCCTGAGACTGTACTTGGACTTGAAGAAGTCTCACTCTGCGAGCAGACAGAACCAAGAGACAAACAAGCATCTGTGACTTATTTTTGATCTGGTGTCATGGACTTTGATAGTGAGAAGGACTGACTATTGCTGCTGACTCTGCTCCTAAAAGTTAGCATTATATGCCTATATTTATAGTCTTTTTATATTATTTCTACTTACTGGAAACTGCACCCTACTCCCTCTTGTTTCCAAGGAAAACCCTGTGAATTGCACCAGATTGTTTGTCATATTCTCTGGTGCTGAAGACAGTGAATTGTATGTTAAACAGAACATTCTTAAAGGTTAGCGCATTGGGAGATTGCAATGGAAATATGAATGTTTTGGGTTCAGACAGGTTCTTCTCAACAATCACCAAGTGGTATGTAGACAGACTGAGCACTGTGTTAAGGACTTGTTTCTGCATGTGGTTCATTACACCACTATGATGAATGAATATTAGATGAATCTATTCCATACAGTTCAACAATCAAGGTTTGAGGCACTTATGATGATTATCCAGTGGTTGCAAGTTTTGAAGTGTCTGTGCAGCCATCAAGAACAATTTGGAGTGTTGTATGATATGAATATAGACCATATGAATTAAATGCAAGGGTAAAGTTGAATGGCATACGATAAAGTGTTTACTAGCACTCCACTTGTCAATAACCTGAGTACACTTTGTAACTGAGTTGACACTGTGCAAACAGGCGAGGACCCAGTTTACCTGCAAGAGGAGGGTAACGAACAGGGAGAGCGAGATTGTGGTCTGATCTCAACTCTGACTTCTCCACATTCTGTACATTATATATAGTGCTGTTCATTGAGAATATGCTATTGCACCCACTGTAAAGTGATCACTGAATAAAAAACAGATCAGCTAAGAAATCAAAGTCTGACTGAATGTTTCTGTTTGATTTTCCTCTGTTGTGCAGGATCAGGGTCATTCCAGGTTTAGGTTTGTTAAGATGATAAAATCATGTAAGCTGCCATCAGTTGACACAGATATACTTTTAAATCAATGCACACTTTCAGTTGTTTTACCATGCAATAATAATTAACATTTTACAAAGAAAAAGATGCTTACGGTGTTCAAATGTGATACATTGCATATCTGTGCAAGCTCATGTTCATGCATTGTTGTGTTAACATGAAATAAAGAGTGGTTGCTTGGAAGAAAGCAAAAATACATTTCAATCAGGAGAGACTAGGCTAACGATGTCGTTGTGTTATTGGCTAGAGAGACCAGCTGATTTAGACAGCTGATATGATTGACAGCCCCGAACAATAACAGCAAGGAAATAATGTGTGCCTGCATGAGGAGCGATGGCAGATGTATGGTAAATAAGCTATGGTCTTAGGCAGTGGTGTATAAAGTACTCAAAAGCCATACTTGAGTAAAAGTAAAGATACCTTACTGGAAAACTACTCCAGTAAAAGTAAAAAGTCACCTATTAGAATACTACTTGAGTAAAAGTCTTAAAGTATCTGATATTTATTGTACTTAAGTATCAAAAGTAATTTTCTGATATTAAATGTACTTAAGTATTGAAAGTAAAAGTACAAGTAAATGCTGTTAATAAAAAAGCAAAGGGTCAGAATTATGAAGTTTATTCTTTTAAGTGCTGTGGCCACCAGGACCAAGGACATGGAGCTGCGTTGACAATAATTGGGTTGGCTGTGATCCATCCAGGAGCAACAATGTTCAACATAATATATTGTACATAAGTTCATAGTAGATGCAAAAGTATACTTATCATCATAATTCTCCGAAAAGCAATATGACACTATGAAGGAGTTGTAACAGTGCGTTTATAAGTATGCTCATTCCGACTAGAGGATGTAGAGGGCAAATGCATCATATTGTGTTCAGCAAAAAATATCCACTTGATGCATCAGGCCAGTGTTTAGAGAAAGGACACCTGCCTTGTGAACTCCTGTGGGCCTGATTTGAACACAACAGGCAAAGGTTTTGCTCAAGCTGAATCTGCAATTGGGTGACTGCTCCCATCATAACTCCATCTGATCATCCACAAAATGACTCAAGTATCAAAACATGATCAATACTAAAGCAGCACCGAAAGTAACAACCCAGTCATTACTTGAAACTGAAAAATGTCCTGTTCATCTTCAAAAGAAGTTGGTTTTCAAAATTGCGAGAATTCCGTCTCGCTGTTCTTGGGCTGAAGACTAGTCCTGCGATGCTAAACAGCCTTTCACAGGCCGCTGAGGCAGGTAGAGGTGTGTTCAGCTTCACACACAGCTTGCGCACAGCTAGGAAGGATTTCCCTAATGCTAACACTAATGCTAACCCTGATGCGCCAAACCTGCTTGCTTGCAGTCTGTGTTCCACCGCAGCCCCCCGACGCTGGTCTCATGATTCATTTTGTTTCTAAAGATAGATTTGATTTTGTAGTGAGTAACGAAGGTTTCAGGGGAAATGTATCGGAGTAAAAGTATCAGTTTTCTTTGCAAAATGTAGTGAAGTAAAAGTAAAAGTCATCAGAAATATAAGTAGTAAAGTAAAGTACAGATATCCAAAAAAAAACGACTTAAGTACAGTAACGAAGTATTTCTACTTCGTTACTGTACACCACTGGTCTTAGGCATGCAAGAGTATAGTCTTCCTGTCTGAACTTACGCTAGAGCATCATTTATACTATCTAAAAACTAATATTCTCTTTGAGAAGGAAAACTATTAACTAAAACACCAGTATGGGCCCTTTAATTATAGTAGCATTACTGTCACATTTTAATAGTCGTGCAGTATGATACAGCATAATAGGAATTTGTACAAATGTAGACCAGATTTTGAGATAAAATTTCAGCTGCTTGCTTTAGCGAAGCAATTCCCTTCTTACATATTGAAAAAACCACTCGGTAATGTTTACAAAAATCAAACCTAATAACCACAAACTATTTACAGAAGACATGAGGGAGAACTTTACACAGTGCATTTTTAAAGGTGCAGTCTAGCATCAGCATCTTGTCACTTTCTATTCTTATAATGTTCTTTACTGCTTTTACTTGTGATGACCTCAACAGAAAAAGGTCAATGGACAAAAGGTAGCATCAGAAAACATGCAACTCTTGTAAAATCAATGTAGCGTACTAATGATTAACAGGTAGGTGGAGTGTTTCCAGTCTCTGTTTGTGAGGGATTATTTAGGACTGTCGGTGCAAAAAGCGTACCATAGACGTTCACTGGTCCCATCATGGCCAGGGTCTACATCAACACTGTCTGCTTCAAAGCTTTACTCTTACAACTGTGTGCATTCAGTGTGCTCGGACAGGACTTGCATGTAAGTATGCATATAGCATAGGATGAAATGAGTTTGTCTGAGACATCATGGAATCTCCATTTTAATTCATATTTTGGAAGAGATGCAAAACTTAAAACTGAGTCAACTTGATAAAGAATGTTTATATTTTGTTACAGGTTATCCCAGAATCAAATGACACTGCTGGTAAAAACACTTTCAATTTTACTTTTCAGTAAAACTAAAACTTGACTCAGTCTTTCATGACTGGAATGCCTAAATGCCTCTTTTTTCCTCACAGTTGATGGGTTGATTGATGAATATTATTTCGATTACACCACCGACACCCCTGCAGAAGACTTTGATTTGTCTCTAGATGACTGGTTATATGAACTCATGGATGTCGCAGGTAAGTTACGTCTGGTTTGATTGCCTGTATATGCTGAACGCATGCAGTAGTTTAACTAAGTCCGATATCCCTTCTGCCTCACAATGTATTGATCGAGACATAATCAATTGCTCTTTGTGGTAACTGGTGAGACTTCATGTTTGCTCTTTACTGTATAAAGCATTTGATGTGTTTCTGTCTTCATTTAGATGAGTGTGATCCAAACCCATGTTTGAATGGCGGCAGCTGTGACCACGCTGCTGATGGGAGCTTCAAATGTTTGTGCCCTGAGCCGTACTCAGGAAAGAAGTGTCAGATAGGTATGACTGAGATCAAGTATATGAGAGCCTTAATTATAATATTCAATGTTTTGCACTTAAAGGCTAACCTAATACATTCTGAGAATAATCATTTCACAGATTTTACTTTTTTTCTTTTGTTTCAGCTTTAAGTTAAAGCTCCCTAGTAGAGGATTGAAAAAAATATGACTTTTATGCCCCCCCCCCCCCCCCCCGTAAAAAAGACAGCGTTAGCAATATACATTACACACATTAGCTTTAACGAAATGGATTTGAATGTAATTTTAAGCTTGATTTTATTTATTTTCAGGGACATAAAATGAAATGTACATTAATTCATCATTAAACATCATTGCAAATGTGCTAATCTTGTAGGCTAATTCTGAACTGTTGGTCTGATGTTAATCAGCATTAAAACAATACAACACACAGCATCTACAATTAGAACAATAGAAAGCAAAACATAAAGCAGCTGAATAGGACAAAAAGCTTAGAGGAGTAAGGCAAGCATCATATGAAGTAGGAAATGCACAATGCAGACAATTAATACAAAACACTGTTAAGCTGAAAGTTAGCACACAACATAAAATCGCTTTACAGAAAACAAGTAAAACTAGAAGGCTGACAAACAGACAAAGCAATCATGCAGTGATGGCAGATCTGCATGTATTAAATGTAAACCAAATTAATGAATGCACCGTGTGTTTTTCAGTGACTAATGTTTGCAAGAACGTGAAATGTGGCCGTGGAAGCTGTGTTGTCACATCTACTGCTCCATTCAACGAGTGCAAGTGCAAGCATCCATACAAACCACCCAACTGCACTAAAGGTCTGTTTAGAATTTCATAATGGAATATAGAGCAGCATGTTATTGATTTAGTTTTGTCATTATATTACACTCACAAAGTCATATTGCATTGATGCCTTTGCACTGGACATCATAAGCTGGTTTTCTTGCCTGTGTTCACAGCTTCTCGCTGCAGGCCCAATCCCTGTCAGAATGGAGGCTCTTGCATGAAGGGTCCCAAACACTCCTCCTTCCAATGTTCTTGTCCTCGTGGATATACTGGAAAGTTCTGCGAAGTTGGTGAATACAATTCTCTCTCTGTCCTAACTAGAAAAAACACACATATGTATCACCTGGCTGAAACAAAATATGATTTTTTTGTCCTAGAACCAAACGACTGTTATCAAGAGGACGGAGAGTTTTACCGCGGCATGGTGAGTGTAACAGTTGAAGGGGAAGAGTGTCTGGACTGGAATTCCTATTTCATCCTGCAGAAAGGGGGGGGGAGATCCCATCAAAGGGTATTCAGGCTTCGATGGAATTGGACCACACAATTACTGCAGGTGAGGAGTTGTCTTGTGTAAATATTGCACATGTACTTAATGTTGACATTACCATGTTTGTCTGTCTGTAAATGTCAATACAGTCCATGAGAGGCACCTACTGTTTATGTACTCAAGACTTTGTGTTTAGTCTTTGTAACTCTAGGCACGCTTTCAAAGGGTCAGTAACTGGTTTATTAAGTTAATCAAAGTCTTTTTTACAGAGTAAGTAATAGGCTGTTAAAATTCATACTTAAGAAAAACTTTTGGGCTGCCAGGTTGTAACTTCTTTTTTTAATGTATAATTAAATG